ACATTTTTGTAACATTAACTCGTTAAAGCCTGTTCATACCAAAATAAAATATTTTATTACAATACTCTGGTTATCCTGCCTAGTCCACATACAAAGCGCAGTGTAACTTTTCATTTCTGACACACACTTATCATAAAGAATGAATGAAGTCAAACAGTATTCATGTTTAACAACCGTTCAGATTTTTTGCATTTTTACGAGACCATTTTCCACCCTCTATCAGAATTTTTTAATTAGATTTTTACTTTACCTGTAAGATCATGTAAATGACCTGTTATGACTGGCTAAACTATCTATTTGTGATCATAGAGGGCCAAGTGTCTGAATAGGACTTGGACTCCGTATGCCATATGTGTAGCGTACAAAATTATCACATAAATATAGTGATGATTTCACATTTTTGCACCAGATCTCATTGGCTTCAACGCTGAGGATATTTTTCTACTGGCCGAATTGGCCAGTGGTTAAATTTTACTTTGTGGCCCCACCACAAGGTAACTGGTTCAAATACCAGTAAAATTGGACAATTCTCGATTCAATGGAAGTCTATTCAATGAATCAGTTGATCCAGTTTAAAACCCTGCCTTAATGATTACTTCAGAAAGCGAAAATATCCACTTCTCAAGATCAACTCAATGATAAAACACTCTAAAAGCAAAAATCAATAACTTATTTTTAATCTGCTCATCACACAAATCATATCATATGACATAAACAGATTTGGGATATAGCTCACAAGACTTTATGATGCTTTTATGGTGCTTTTGGTGTCCTAATCTAAGCTTAATTATTTAAAGTGAGCATATATATATATATAAAAAAAAAAATCTATTTTTGTGTTCCATAAAATAAACAGATAGTTTTGGAATCATATGAGGGTGAGTAAATGATGACAGAACTTATTTTGGGGTGAATTAATCCTTTTAAAAGCTGAACTATAGAGATCCTAATCGTACTAAACTTTGCAAAAATGGTTGACAGTATAGTCCACGTGAACTTCTGTGAACTCACTCAAGATGTGTGCTCTAAGATGGGGAGTATTCCAGCCATTTCATCCCATGCATGCAGGAATGGACAGAGGGAGGTAGAGTATGACGGAGGGATCTGAGGCAACTGCTGTGGGTGGGATGCGTAACCAGACGGTGCGGTCAGAAATTAACATACATTTGGCCGTCAGCCTCCCAAAAACATAAGAGGCAGGAGTACGACCGGTCTGTGAACGATCCATAAACAGCCCTCTCACTGACAGGGTGTGTCTGTGGAACTGTGGGGGTGTAGTCTTCTTTGTAATTAAGTCCACCTAAATGAGCTGGGTGACACGAGGTCATGAGAACTGCAGGAATGACCCTGTGTACCGCTGGCTCCGAGATTCAGCTAATTTATCAGACAGAAATGGAGATGGTAAGGTTTGCAGCTGAAATCAGGGAGTGATGTGGCACAGTTGTTTAAGATCTTTGCTGGTTATTGTAGGTTCAGAAACTTGATGGAAAAGGGGCCCCAATAAATTCACAGCGAAGTTTATTTTCATTCTTCACTTAGGGTTAGGTTAGGGTGCAGCTCAAGTTAAGAGAAGTTTTTAAAAACGCTTTTTTTGCATCTCGTGCTTTAATCAGCAAAAAGGAGTTCTGGGTGAACATGAAAAAACAATGCAAGTGTCACTTAATTTCTTAATTTAAAGCAGATTTCCAGTGACCTCAACGGACTGAACAGGAGAAAATAATGAATAGGAGAAGATTTCAGTGTCAAAAGGCGGCAGAAATAAACTGCAAGACAACTTTGATTGGGCCTGATTTTGTTCAAAACACAACAGTTCGTTCTTTGACTTCACTTAAAGTTTATCGAGCCCTTTACTCCTTCACTGTTGAGTGACTGGTCACTAGCTGTTACTCATCCACTGGAATAGAGGGAACACAGGCTTTCCGGGACCACCTTATCGGGTCCCTGTATTTGTTTTTCCATAAGGAATTCCAGTAGGATGTGTACTGTTCCCTAATCACAGGTTGTTTACTGTGACCTTCTGATTTGACTTAATAAGTAGTCATTTAGCAGACACTAAATTGGTACCAGGACAATCGCCTACCTGTGTTTCAGAACGTCACAAAGGGCACAGGATTGGAATGGATTGTCCTGGTGGGGCAACAAACCTAGAATCTTTTAGTTAAGATCTTCAACTCCTCACTGCAATCTCCATTTCTCTCTAATAATTGAAAAATATATATATAGCCAGCTATATCCTGAGGCTATTAAAGCTGTAGGCGTGAGCCCCCTCCACCTCTACCACTGAGCTAATTTTGGAGGACTTAATTACAAAGACTCTTCACCACTGCTGCAATACATTAAATTTAAAAATATTAAACATATTTTAGGCAATATGTAAACTAAAAGAGGCAGGGTTGTGTTTTATATTTAGTTTTGTTATAAATATAGGGTACCGTACATACATGCAGTGAATATAATCAATAGGTTATGCGTTGCCTGAACCACATGGTTCTCGCATCCTTGGGAGTCAATCTCCTGAGTCGGACTTTGCGTAGGCTACTTGGTATTAAGAAACGCCAAATGCCGGCGCTTTGTTCTTGTGACAAACATGCCAAAAAGCAAGAACAAGATCTGCTTTATGTCAATGATTGTTTTATATTATGTCGCTTTCTTCTTTGCGCAGAAATGACGTCACTCGCTTCTTTTTGGCAAACACCACGCCTATCAAGTAAGGGTACTTTTGGCGCAAGAAACGCTAGCCGGGTCATTGTTTACCGACCCAAACCGTACTGTACCGTACCGCTTAGTGGAAACGAGCCATTAGTAGGCTTGCCGCGATAGACGGTGTTGACGGTGTTACCGGTTTTAAGCCCCATCACCGGTGACATCACTTTCCCACCGTGACATCGCGATGTCTTAACTTTTTTTTTTAAAGTATTCGTTTTTGCTAAAATATTTATTTGAATTAATTAAAAATAATAATTTTCAATTATTTAGTTCTGAAGAGAGCATTATAATTAAAAATGAACTGCGCAACGCGTGCCGTCACGTCACAGATCAGCAAGCATCAGGATTCCATTTAGCACGTGTGGAGACGAGAACGAGTCAAATTACAGAAAAGCAAGATAATGGCGGAAGATTTGGTGTCAAAACGCAATGCAAAAGCGCCTGTTTGGCAATATTTTGGCCAATATATATTAATGTTAATAAATGCCAATTTATAGTGTTTTACTTTTTTTTAGAGTGCTGTCATTTATGTAGGCTAAGGTCCTTTTTAAAGTTTTTATTTTATATTCGTCTCTTTTTATTTGGTTTTATCTTATTTAAACTTTGTTTAATTTTTTTAGGCCTATTTTGTTTTCTTATTCGTTAATAAACGTTTTATTTTTTTTGGGCCCACAGTTTGCCGATTTTCACTTTTTTCAGCCTATGCATGGGGTTATTTTATTCGTTCGTCATGCTAATAAAAGTTCTGTCTATATTTTATTCGTTTATTATTCTAATAAAAGTGCTGTCTAAATAAAAGTTTATTGTCAGCGAGTTGTTTTTTTTTTTCCATTCCAGCAATTGACGCTTATTTCGAAAGTGAAAGTATGTCATTTATGTAGGTCCGTTTTGAAGTTTTTATTTTATATTCGTCTCTTTTTAATTGGTTTTATCTCATTTAAACTTTGTGTAATTTATTTAGGCCTATTTTATTTTCTTATTCGTTAATAAACGTTTTATGGTTCTTATTTGTTTGGGCCCACATTTTGCCGATTTTCACTTTTTTCAGCCTATGCATGGGGTTATTTTTATTCGTTCGTTATGCTAATAAAAGTCTATAAATAAAAGTTTTATTATCAGCGAGTTGTTTTTTTTTGTCCATTCAAGCAATTGACGCTTATTTCGAAAGTGAAAGTATAACGCGCACGCATTTAAAAGCTATTTAACCCCCCCGCCCTGCCCTCCACGGTGACACCGGGATTACCGGTGTTGTCACACGTCGATTAACCGGTGGGAAATTTTCCTCACCGCGGCAACCCTAGCCATTAGTTGTTAGTTTTCAAGGATAGTTTCACATCAACTGATGATAGTTTAAATAAACCTAACATGTTATTTTCGCTGAATATATTAATACACCAGATCTCATTCCCCATTGGCTACCATAGTATGTATTTTTTCCTACTATGGAAGTCAATGGGGAATGAGATCTGTTTGATTAAAACATTCTTCCAAATATCTTCCTTTGTGTTCAGCAGAACAAATAAACACATAGAGGTTTGGAACAACATGAGGGTGAGTAAATACTGACAGAATTTTCATTTTTGGGTGAACTAACCCTTTAAGATAGCTTTTTAGTTAGAGTAAATGAATGAATATAATGAATGACTACTGTATGTCATGATGAAACACTAAGGATATTTTCATCTAAGGACAAAAAGAAAGTATGAACTGCTCTAGAACAGTATTATTTCAGGTGCAGATTTTTGCAAAAGAGAAACCTTTGCAAAAGAGAACGGAAGAGAAGACTCTGTCAGAAAGAATATGCAAACATCTAGTTACCAAAAACAGTCTGAAATGGTCTAGACGGCCTGTCTGCAAAGGATAATTTTAGGAATCAGGTTGAAGTTATTGAATGTGGGGAGGGAAAACACTAATGATACAGGAGTCGTTCACTTGATAAGAATAAAAAAAGGGCACAAAGTCGTCTTTGAGGCAGTAATTAAATACTGCCTCAAAAAGCTGTTAGACGGATCCAATTACGCAGTCAGTTTAAGAGTAACATCAGGTACATTTTTCCATCAGCATGACTCAAAACTGACCCATTTGCTTTTCAAATAGTGTAGCGTAATCTCAGATAAACAAGCACACACACGCCTTTAAAACTCTGAATCAAAGTGAGTAGATCCCACTGTGGTAGGATAAACAGCTCATGTGCTCTACATGTCTGGGCTCGTCCCAGAGAGCAGCCTTAATTAGCAAGGAACAGGAATAAGCTTTGCAAAAACCAGCTACTCTTGCTCAGCCAGGCGCCTCAAACTAAATTTCAGAAGAGTGGCTAAACCACCGTCACCCAGAATGCACCTCTCCGGGTGCACACACCCTGAACAGGGCCGAGGCCTCAAATCTCAGTCCAACCGCACGGCACTGGGCCGAATCCAGAAGCCACAGACTTCTGCTCCAGGCGATAAACAACTATAGCCTCCAGAATCCTACTGAACGAACGCCACTTCCTTCCTCCCTGCAACAACAAGCAGAGAACCTAGACACCGGACGACACACAAGTTTATTCTTTCAAGTCGCTTTCTGATTTGGTGAGTGGGGGTGTGTATTTTATGACTGGGTGAATTCACTTAGATTTGGCATCACTCGACACCACCCTCTTGGAGAAGAACAATATGAGCTGAAAGGTCACTTCGAAGCCAGCGTGAGTTCTTCTCAGCAGGCTGGAGTTACCCAAAAAAGGTTTCCTATTGTGAACAGTTACAGGCAAGGCTGGTGATTCAAAAGCATTACTTCTTAAAGCAATGAAGAATCTAGAACTGGCCAAAAACAATCGGTTAAACCTCAAGATCTATTGTAGTAAATGCATGTTTTAGTTTAGTTTTTATTGTGAAAGATTCAACCAGTTGTGAAACCTTTTAATCTTTTTTTACTGTGGAAATTTAAGATTTATCTTTGACAAGTTTAATAACTGGAGAAGTCTGGCACTCCACTATCGACAGGAAGCTCGCATGCATTTTTTTCTTTTCGATAATTTAAAATGTAAGAAAACATCTGTTGCTACTTCAGATTCATCTTGATTTTAAAGCTACACTGTGTGATTTTCACCCCCATCTAGTGGTGAAAAGGTATATGACCATCCAGTGAATATTAGTTTCTGTTCCGCTCAATTCCGATTTCGTTTTAACTCCTACGGTGGCCAATGTAGTCCAAGATTAACATGGCTTCCAGTTCGACCTCGTCCATGAGTGTTAACTCAAACGTAAACGCGAATTGAACAGGTATGTCCCTCTTTGGCTAATGTACTTTCAAGATGGAGGGGCAACATGGCGACCGCTTACCCGTATGTGTTTTCAATGGCATATTATACACTCACGAGAATCCTTTATTACTTGAACGAAGTAAATATACATTAATGAGCACATATATTTTTGAAAGAACTAAGTGTTTTTAGCTAAGAGTAAACTAAAAGTTACACAGTGTAGCTTTAAAGAAATTTTCTGGATTCAATACAATTGAACAATAAATCGACAGCACTTGTGATGCTGTAATTTCGACTCGTCCCTGGGACCAATTTGTAAATGCTGAAAATACTACGTTTTTATTATAAAAACTACAATAGTAGTAATGATTTTATGAAATAAAATGACTCGCCATCTTCGCAGTAGTGAACGCACCAATAGAGAGCGGTCAGACATGATTTTTTTCTATGACAATGCATGCACTGAGTCAAAAATGCATTTCCCCACCTATCTAAATGTAGGGGAGACAGTGAATAGTAGAAGAGTGTTCCTTTAAGTGCTTTATAAGGTTGTTTTTAAATACTTGATTAATCTAGATTATTCCGAGGCATTTATAATTTACGTAAATGGGCAAATGAAAATGAGGAACATGTCACAACTGTGTCGTATGCCACAACTGTGTCGACCAAACTTAGTGTTTTGAACCAGGAATATTCCTTTAAGGCTTTGTGGTAAAACAGAGACATTATAGGCCGCAAGACGGAAGAATCCAGGAATTAAAACCTGTTTAAAACTATTTTGATTTTGGATGGTTTACAGAACGCTGAAAAAAAGCCTACTAAAACAAAGGGACTTTATTAGGAAAGAATATAATCTATTCTTTAAAACGGAAACCGAAAGAACAAACCACCAAAAGGTGTATCCGAGATGTCAGCTATGCTAGTCGCTGTTCAGAAGTTCCACCAGGAAAATGTGTGTCAGAGTTTCCATTAAAATCCACCTGTGTGACACAAAGAGCTCACACAGCGTCTGCCCTCTTTTTTTTCTTTTACAGCTTTCTTTACATGTGCCACACACGCTGGACCACACAACATCAACTACATTTTACAGCAGTCATCCAGTGGCTTCAGTGTAGGCTACACTTGGCAGAAGAACACAGAGCAACTGTAACCAGCACAAAATGAGACTGACGAAGAATCAGCCAGGTTACAGCCCAATAAGCAGGTGGAGTGTGTGTAAGGCTGGGGAGGGCCTAGCAACGGGTCAAAAAATAAAAGAAGCAGATTGAAGATTGCTTGTTGTCATTTTTGATTGAACGAGTATGAGTGGTCCATCTGGGCTCAGCTTGGAACTTTTAAAAATGGAAGTGAAAATTTGATCATTTCTAAAATGTTAAAATACGATTTCAAAAGTATAGCCAGGGGAATAATATCAGTGTTCAATATCATGATTTTAGTGTGAAAGAAAACATACATGGGTTTTAAAGGGTTCTTTTTGACATACAAGACATTTTTGTACCATTAAAACATTTAGAAAGTTTCATAAAACCAAATAAGCAGAGCATTTAATTAATCAAGCTCCAAAAAACAGCTTGTTTAGATATTTTGGGATCTCCAACGTCACATCTGCCTCTATAGAGAAAGACAAACAAATGAATGGTGCTACATCAATCACACCGTAGGCCATGCCCACTATCATTTAGGACCCATTTCTGTTTTTAAATCCTCCAAGAATTGGCCCCATTTACTTTTTTATTATATTAATTCAATTGTAAAAATCACATTGTGTGTGGTGCTTATAGTAGTGACAAAATCACATATTTTGATTTATTTATGCATTTAATTTTATTTGAATAAAAATACATTTTTTATTATTTAACATGTGAACTTTTCTTTTCACAATGACTATTAATTGCAACTTCTTGCAAGGCCCAACGAAATTTTATTCATACTGAGTGTGAACAGAACAGGGGGGTCAGACTTCAAGGTTAAAGGATTAGTTCACTTAGTTCAAGCGAAAAACGATCGCTCATTTAAAAAAAAAAAATAACAAAGTTTAAGTTTTATAAGATCAAATGCTCATCTTGCTCTGTTCTGTGGTGCACGTTCGTGACTCTCCCGTTCGAACTCGTTCAACAAAATGAACAAATCTTTTTCCCGAATCAATTCGTTCGTTTCTTTCGCCGAATGAACCAAATGACTCGGAAAAAGATTTGTTCATTTTGATGAACGAGTTCGAACAGGAATGCGTTACAGAACAGAGCAAGGTGAGCGTTTGAGCTTATAAAACAAACTTTGTTATTTATTTATAAAACGAGCGATCGTTTCGCTTGATAAGACCCTTATTCATCGTCTGGAATCATTTAAAGTCCTTTGAACAAGTTTGCAGTTTGTACTTAAAGTTTCTTTTGGAACTTGAACCATCTGGTTCCCACTGAAGTCCATTATATGAAGAAAAATCCTGGAATGTTTTCATCAAAAACCTTAATTTCTTTTCGACTGAAGAAAGAAAGACATGGACATCTTGGATGACACGGGAGTGAGTAAAAAATCAGCAAAAGTTTTCAAAAGTGAACTACTCCTTTAAATGTTGGCGGGTTAATAAGCTTCTAATTTTAGTCGATATAGCTTTAAATATGGATATTTTTCTTACATGAACGCATTGCTTCACTTTATGAGACCTTTATTAACCTGCCAGATGCTTTTTGAGCACTTTTATCATGGATGGATGCGCTTGATTGACTTCCCAAAAAATATACCCATTGACTCCTATAAAGTTTAGAAGAGTCAGGACATTTAAAAAATGCTGGGTTGTTTTAAACATGGACAAACCCAGCCATTGGGTTACATTTTTAAATTACATTTTTAACCCAATGGCTGGGTTTGTCCATATTTTACCCAAAATTGGGTTAAAACAACTGTGTAATATGACTCTTTGACTGTATTAAGTCATGACACTTATATTGGAAAGAGAGATACTGTTGTATCAGATATGGCCTGACAGCTGCCATCTCCCCTAAAAAAAACAAATAAATAAAGGTGATCTATGAATACCGTTTATGATGTTTCCGAGAATCGTTGCTGTTAATGGCACCGCCTCAGGCTCGTCTCTACTGTGCAGACAAAAGCAGCACGTTATCCAGAGTAACCGCTAACAAAAGGAGTGAAGCCGCGCTACTGTGACTAACGCTTTAAACTCATCCAGAATACAAAGAACTCAACCTCTAGTGTCATTTTATTATTCATTTTCCCTCATATGAAAGAGGCAACATACAGCTCCATGAGTGCCAAAAATAATCTCAGCATGTCCCAGGACTCTACCAAACGCGACTTTACTCGTGAATTGCATAATCCACTGCTGTCCTTACATAAGAGTCACAGCACAGAAAGGAACACAGCTTTTTGGTAAAAAATAAACACCATATCAAACAATCATGGATGTAATAATCTCACAGCGAGGGCAGATTAATGTCTGCTCCTGAATTTTTCAGGCCTGCTCGTGGTGGCGGCACATGGTGAGAACAAACAGCTGTGGGTAAGCTGTATGTGTGGAAGGCCAGGCATTCTCCCATTACAGATTTCCCAGAAGCCCCTGGGCTCTGCTGCCTCGACCAGCCAGATGTGCAAACGGTTCACTGTGGTTGGCTGCCGCTGCAGACAGACAGACGGGGAAACAGAAGAAAACACAACAGAACCTTCTAGAAGGATTTATGCTGTAAAAAGCACTGCTATTTAAGTGATTCACTTATGAAACACCAGGAGGACCAACTCATTTAAGGGCACAAGCATTGTGCAAAAGACATTAAAACTAACAATTTGTGGTGGAGATTCGAGACACGTGTGCAAAACAATGAGAATCAAAACGCTACCGAAATTAGTTTGGGACGCCTGCCATTCTCCTCCAAAAATAACAAGCACACTTAGAAGAGGAAGGATCAAGGAACAGTTTAGACTGTATGAAAACTAATGTCATGGAGGATTTAAACGCATTATAGTGAAATTATGAACAGCTAGGAAAGATATTGCCATTTGTTACAAATTTGGGAAACCAAATACAATCTCTGTATTCCTTAATTCCTTGAGTGTCATTTCTTTATTAATTTATCATATTGGTTCTCTGCCAAAATCAGATATTATATGATTTTTTCCCCTTATTTTTACATTTAGAATACCTTTGCCATCAACTAACACTCACTTAAAGGTAGGGTAGGCAATTTCAGAGAGGCTAGCAATAGCAAGCCAGCTTTGAAAGCATGAGATCCCACCCTCCCTTCAGAATGTTTTACAAAGCCACGCCTCCTTCAAAACAGAACGCACACAGCGGAGTCTGAAAGCATCATGAGAGGCTGCGTTATATTACCTCATGTCTCAAAGCACACGACATTACAATAATAAACGTAAACACAACTTAGACAGCTCTGAGTTGTGCATTCATAACGGTCTGGAGCGGAGCGAGTGTTTTCAACTAATTCCAATGAAAGTTGAACATTCATAGGAATTAACTGAAAAAGCTTGCTCTGCACCGTTGGACACACGCCGTTACGAATGCACGAAATAGCACCAATTTGGGGGTGGTAATTGCTTGAATGGTGGGTTCATCATTATTATCCCTAATGAAAAACACAAGAAATCCTTTTACAGGTTCCCCTTTTAGCAATGAGCTTAAATCCCAAATATTGCCAAATAGGCACTTTGAAACTAAATCTTCTGCCATCGCCATCTCCTTACACTAGAGATAAATTCAATTTGACTCCTGCTGATCTGTGCTTTAATTGTAGTGTCGGTTCTCTAATTATTTGTATTACTATAAAAAAAAAAAATCAAAAAGACAGAGGGGGTTGTGACGGGTGGGCAAGTGATGTAACGCAGATTACCGCTAGCCTGGGTTTCCCCATTCTGCCTTGCCGCAACGTGATTATTCGCGCTGCTAGGCAGTCTGGATACCATGATTTTCTCCTGGAATAGGGAACCAATCACAGAACGGGGAGGGAGCACAGGCGCATTTGATAAGCGTACAGGCGCATTTGATAGACATTCGTAGCACCCAATAATACGGCTCTGGGCATTCGTAAACCACGCCTCAAATACGAGAAATTGAACATGTGGTTTCTAGACCACGTTTCATTCTCAATGATACGTGGCCTGGTGTTATTTAAACAGTGGCTGTAATAATACTTTGCATTCATGACAGATTTATTTAAACATACATCAAGTAATGAAGACATTAACATGTTAAGTAAAAATGTAATGACTATGCGTAAAATGGTGAATAAACTAAAAATTTAAAAAAAAGGATGCGTATATAAAGTTACGTGACAACTGTAAAATGATTGAGCGCTTACATTAAACTCGATACATTTTGATAAAATGCATTGTATCTTTAAAACAAACCTTCTCGGTTCATGTGCGCTCTGCGGTGCAACTACTTTAAAGAGCACCAAAACAATATTTATTGATTGAATTTCATGATAAAGTTTACAGAATTCGACGGCCAAATTTCAAAAGTAACAAAATTGTTGGATGGTAGTCATGCTACACGTATTGTTTTGTTTAGTGACGTTTTGTTCACACATTAACAGAAGAATCAATATCAGGTCATCAAAATGAAGACCAATCATAAGTAAAGTCCATTTTCATCTCAAATACTGCTCCAACTTCTCACTGTTTGATTCTCTGACAACTCTGTACTATTCACGTCACGGTCTCTCATGGACTGTCGTTCTCTTTGGAAGAAAAGAAAAGTGCTACTCTTCTAAAATTAGCTATTAAAAGTGCCCCAAACTAGCAATGCCAGAGAATGCCTTGAAAAGCAATTTCCTGCAGTTTTAGCAGGCAGACTTTGAAGATCATTCCAGTATAGATTAAAAGGCACATTTACAAGTGCATGCAAAGAAAGACGCTTACCCCATTTAACAAGCACGGCCGAATGCCATGCCGTCAAAATGCCGTTCATTTTTTAAGCATGAATGAATAGAATACCACACAATAGCTCATTGTTTTCGATTTTTACGAGTCAGAAAGTGACTTAACACTATTAACAGAAATCCAAAAGTCAAACTACATATTTAAAATTGGTGTTTTGTGCCACATTGCAAGCAATTTTGAGAAGAAAAAAAAGGAAAAAGTAGCCAAATTTAGAAGCTAAACGTAGGAGGAAGGCTAAGTGGTTTCTAACACGAGGTCAGTTTGCTTAAGAGATAATGTTAGCAGTAATGAAACAGTCAAAACACAAACCCTGTTTAAGAGACCCACATCTACCTTATTTTTTCTAAACTTTTATCTTTTGTCTG